AAAAAAGAAAATGATAGCTCACACGGTGCACGTGAGTATTGGGTACCCTACATGGAATGTCTCATTCAATTCTACATCACCTCCATGCAGCAGGAGGTTGCAACTCTACTCGGCCAGTGCAGAAGCTGGAGGTGAGGGAGGGCATCCGGGCAGTGGAGTTCATAAATATTTCAATTTGTATCTTTAAAATACAGACATTTAGAGACTTTAACTTCTATGAAGTTTGTAGTTATTGGCAGTATCTCACAATACTCATTTCCCTTAATTCTTGATCCTGTAGGATACTTTTTTCTTTTTAAATTTTTGCTAATTTGTTAAGTGATAAATTATTGTACTATTTACTATAATTTTAATTTCTTTGATTATTAATGGGATTGATACTGATGAGATTCCACACACTCACTGTTAGCCTGTAGTTCTTGCTTGGCAAACTGCTCATGCATATCATTGGCTAATTTTTCTATCAGGGTTTATAAATATCAATTCCCAAGAGCTTTTAAACTGCTAATATTGAAGATCTCTAGGCATCCTAGGACAGCAGCAGCCACCTAACCCCAAATACCCTCGCTTATAAATGATGGAAAACAACAAGAAAAGTGACACTACACAAATCCATGCCCTTGTCCTGATGAGACCACAGGGAGCTGGTAACTTGCAGAGACATTAGCAGAAAAGAGAGTACTAAATCCTAGTGAGCTATGAAAGGAAGAGAGTGTAGTTTCTCCTTAGGAAACTAGAGTAAAAGAGCCAATTAAATCCAACGTAAATGGAAGAAAGAAAATAACAAGAGTGAAAAAGTCAATGATACTGTTTAAAATTGTCAAATAATGAACATCATCAACAAAGTCAAATTTGGTTCTTTGAAAAGATTGATAAAAGATCAATAAAAGATCAATAAATTTGATATACCCTTAGCAATTTTTATCAAGCAAAATACAAGTTACTGACACCAGGGATTTACAATCATGACACAGCCAGGCACCTGAGTGGCTCAGTCAGTTAAGCATCCTACTCTTGATCTCGGCTCAGGTCTTTTTTTTTGTAACAAATTCAAATTTCTTTCTTTCTTTTTTTTAATGTTTATTCACTTTTGAGAGGGAGGAGGGGCGGAGAGAGAGGGGGACAGAGGATTTGAAGTGGGCTCTGCACTGAGAGTAGAGAGCCTGATGCAGGGCTTGAACTCACAAACCACGAGATCATGACCTGAGCCTAGGTTGGATGCTAACTGACTGATCCACCCACGCGTCCATCAGCTCGGGTCTTGATCTCAAGGTTGTGAGTTTGAGCCCCTCATTGGGCTCCACACTGGACATGGAGCCTACTTAAAAACAACAACAACAACAAACCTTCCCACAAAGAAAACTCCAGACCTAGATTAAAAAAACAAACAAACAAACAGAACATGGGGCACCTGGGTGGCTCAGTCGGTTAAGCGTCCGACTTCGGCTCAGGTCATGATATAGTGGTTTGTGGGTTCAAGCCCCGCGTTGGGCTCTGTGCTAACAGTTCAGAGCCTGGAGCCTGTTTCGGATTCTGTGTCTCCTCCACTCTCTGCCCCTCCCCTGCTCATGCTCTGTCTCTCTCTGTCTCCCAATAATAAATAAACATTAAAAAAATTTTTTTAAACCAAAAAAACCATAAAATGCCTAGGAATAAATCTAATAAAAGATGTACAAGACCTGAATAATCCAGGAGATATGCCATGCTCCTGCACTGGAAGATTCCACATGGTTTAGAGAGCCCAGTCTCTAAAATCGGTCTATGGTGTGATGTGATCCCAATCACAATCTCAGGAGGGTTTTCTTCCCTTTGCAGAAATTGTCAAGCTGATTCTAAATTCTATATGTGCAAAGGGCCCATATTTGCCAAAGCAACTATGTTAAAGAAGAACAAAATTTCAGAACTTACACTGACTTCATGACTTAGCATAGAGCTATGGTAGCCAGGACAACATGGCATTAATGTGTCTGGGACAGATGGTTGTCCGTATGGAAAAAATGAACACGGACTCCTATCTAATTCCACAGAAATTAATTCAAGACATAGCTTAGGCCTAAAGATAAAACCTCATAATCATAAGATTTATAGAAGAAAACAAAATGTCTTCATGAGTCTGGAATAGGCAGATTTGGATAGGACAAAAAACACTAGCCCTTCATGGAAAAACTTGATAAACTGGACTTTATTAAAAGACACAATTTAAAAATGTAGAGACAAGCCACAGGGCACGAAAACAGTATTTGCAGCACATTGACCAAGGACCTCATTCAGAATATATAAAATTCATAAATTGATAGTAAAAAGATGAACGACCCAATTTTTTTTAAATGGGCAAAAGACTTGAACAGATACTTTCCTAGGGAGATGGAAGAAAGGCCTGTCTATGATGAAAATGTGTCAACATCATTAGTCATCAGGGAAATGCAGATAAACATCACATTAAGATACCATTTCACAAACACTGGGATGGCTACAGTCAAAAAAACGGACAACACGAAATGTTGGTGAGGATATGAACCATCACCAGTAAGAACGTAAAATGTGACAATCACGTTGGGAAACGGTTTTGAGGTTCCTCATAAACATGAACATGCATTCTCCCCATGACCAGAAATTCCACTCAGTGCTTACCCAAGTGAGATGGGTGTGCTCACAAAAACACCCTAACAAGAATGTTCATAGCGGCCTCCTTCACAACAGTCACAATCTGGAAATAACCCAGCAGCTACCAGCCCCACATGAGGGCTATCAC